GCACGTGCTATGCCCTCGCGTTACGGAGATATGTGGAGGCGGCGATGGACACAGTGGCACGCAATGAAAAATACGTCTTAGTAATAGTCGATTGGTAAAATCTTAAACAACTTTCGGTTAAATTTAAAAAAAAGTAAGCAGCGAATATTTAGGACAAGTAAAAATTACTACCAATCAGCCAAAAAAGGGCAAATTTAATTCGATCATTATTTGCAATGGGAAGGAGGAGACTTGCATCCTGAACAAATTGGAAGTCTTGAAATCCCACCCACCTCCTCCTGCAAGGCATCAGTAGCCAGCTACAACCACTTGTGCGCTATGTCCCGCCATCACCAAAGCTTACTCGGCTCTGTCGTCTCCAGTGTCTGGACTCTTCATATCACACCGACCAATCACGTCACCACGTCACTGAAGGAACAGTGGTGGTAGCAAAATTACCAACAATAACACATTCACTTCCAGATGCAGTACGAGTCATCAGCACTCCGGTAACAGGCTCGATTGACCACTCATCAACGCCATTTCGGATCCGCGCCACCTATCCAAGACAAAATGCACTGAGGCAGCGAACTGGTGGGTGAAGCAAATCATTGGAGCGAGGATTTTGGCAATATAGACGCACAGCGACAGAAGTAGTTACAGACGCAGCGGAAGGAGGCGGTGATGTCAGAGATCGTCGGCGATTTCAGGCTGTCGGTCCTGGTGACAATACAGCATCAAGAGGCGGAAAGTGGCGCCGTGGTGTTGGTTCGTCGATGGTACGTCGGTCACTGCCTTTGCCACATCGTGACCCTTGAAACAATGTACGAACCCACACATATTAGAATTTAGAAGACCAGAAAACACATCCACCACTATTTCGCACCTACTGTTACCTCTTCGACCAATTAATTGGCATTCCTAGAACTCCTGACTTGGTAAATCGCACTAGTTTCTTCAGTCTCCAAAAAGATAAGTGAATTGCACCAAACCCAGTTCTCCTCTTCGGAGGACTTGGGTCTCTTCATTCACTTATCGAGATTAGCATGCAAATGTTCTTTCTCCTCTTTCATTAACTAGAGCATCCTCCAGTTAACTCAACCAAAGTGAAGAAGGCCCTACGAAGCGCTATTCGCTAGTCAAGCCTTTACATTTAGCGACCTCACTGACCGATAATTCGCATCTTCCAATTCATCAATGCGCATGGGGTCAAAACAAGAAGCAGGGAATCGCATCGCTTCATTGCTGGAATGTCCGCTAAATTTCCCCATTTATTTGTTCATACTTGTAACATAAAAGACTAAGCTTCAAGTTTTCTTCTCTCCGTTTTGTGGCTTCATAAATATTAATGAACCTCAGCCGTTACCTCTAACTCAACTGGAACAATTTAAACGCTCTTAAGTGGTGACCTATCATTTCAACAAGCGTGTTCCTGCCCGTCGATGAAGCACCAGCAACAAAGTAGTAAAAAGTGCAACGACTTCAAAACGAGGAAAAACACCAACAATTGTGGAAAATTGTGCTGTGCATTTTGGTCTGCGTAAAAGTGAACGTGCTCAATCTTCATTTAAGTTAAGATAACTCTAAGCAGCATAGCATGTCATGCTTCACCAATATGCAAGGTATCTGAAACGCTGCTAGCATGGATCAATGTCCATCCTACAATTCGAAGAATCCAACCATCCTACCACCTTAATTCCATGTGGCAATGAAACCACAGAGCATGAAAATTTGATCAGCGTGACCTTTGTTGAATGTCAGTCTACTGTCCATATTGGCGTCGCTTCTTCACAATTGATCTCGCTAAGCATCTCCTCCAAATCCACACTGACCAGTGAGGAGTGTCCCCACCCTTGTGCCACAGATCAGACCCGAGTTTGAACACTTCCAGTCTTATGCGGTAACGAAACTCGCAATACCTAATCACAAATGCTGAGCTTAAAACGAATAACCAGGAAGCAGGCATCCCCCTCTAGCAAGTATCCAAGTGGGTGGAAACGACAATCGACGCGAACATTCGATGAGAGCTGGTTGCTCAGTCGGTCGTTCCATGCAAGAACGCAGATCTAGTGGCTGTCTTGCATTATTTAGTGACTATATTTGGCAGGCCTCATCTCTATATGAGTCAGGCTTCCTGCGTCCACCTTAGGTCCTTTGGCAGATCGTGGTTATGGCAGTGCAGCGCTCCTCACTCGCATCAGCCAAACGTTCGCCAATTCGTGTTGGTGGTGATGACAGAGTTTCAGCCCAACGGTTGCAAAGTAAGAGTCGTGATTCAAGAAGCGTACGTGGAAGCTTCAGGAGCAATTTTAAAGGAGCACTTTTTGCTATTTCCGCATACAAAGGCGACGGCTTCAACACTTAACCAATGCCGAGACGATTTCGAAACATTAGTGTATGCCTTCTAAGCTAAGACATTCCAGACACCATTTGAATGGTGTTTGCTGCCTCTGGAACATGGGAAATATTCTTTGAAGGGCTGCAGTTTATTCGTTCATTTGTGCTCAATAAACAAGCTTCTTCTTCTTCTTCTTCGGTGTGGACGATGTTTGTCAAATCATTGGAGATGCTGTAATCACAGTGACTTCGTCAGTGCATCCCCATGCATGATAACGCAATCGCTAGAGGCTAATGCAGGATTTGGTTGGCGATGCACGCAGAGGTTCCAACTGGCTGCAAGTATCGTGGAAAATGTCTCCTGCAACCTGCTCTTGAAGCATTAGCTCATGCCTCAATAATCACGATGCGTCTATCATTACCGTTGAGCTCGACTGCAAGATAACCGCCAGATCTGCATTCAAGCTTGCGACTGACCTGCATCGGCTGACCAAGCATTGAATGTGGTGTGTGGCCAACTCCCGTGTGCGCCCGTGCAGCTGCTCGGTTTGTGGACATACCTGTGTGCGTGTCTGAGGCACGATGTCACTTCGTCTGCCTCCGTATTCTCTGTCGCCATTATGATGATTTGATCATAAGGACGTGGCATTGGCGTTCCGCTGCCAGTCTACTTTGGTAATAAAACATTCCCCTACACTCCCATGCTTTCACTTTGACGTCTTCATCTTTGCGATGTTCGCCTTACAATGTTCGCGCTTTGCACAGAGCGCCACCTCACGCGTATAGACAGGATGTGATCCGAGATGTTACAGTAACGAGGTCATGTCATGCATTTGACGGTCCACAAACGCCGAATCGAGCACAGCTGCCCTTCCACACTCGTGACTACACATTTCCCTCATTTCCTCTCCACCCGTGTCGGTGGACATTCGAGCCCAATCGGATTTACCTGCTGTGGCTGTCGAGGTGTCGATTGCCTCGGAGAAAGCAACGCGCACCCATACGATACAGAGCGAGGGTCTATTACACGTGGTGGGTGTAGGCACAGCGATTTCACGACTTGATTGGAGCGAGAGTTCATCCAACTAGCAGCTTCATTGAAGAGGACCGAGAAGGTAGCAAATGCGTGCATGCGTATCCTGGTGGGAACGTAGGTATATTCCCTGCATTAGATTGGAACGAAACACAGCAACCGTCTGTCCAGGCATTACCTTAGCACCGTTAGGATGGCCAAGGCAAGCAATGTCAACCCGCTTTAGAATAACATAACTGTAAACTCGAGTGTAGTTTACGTAGGCTGCGTCAAGACTGAGATCGTCCAACATGGATCGGCCATGTGGCAATCGTTGAATGGTGGCATAATTGCGTGAAATCATACGTCTGTTAAAGTCGCTCCCAATGTCCAGAAGCAGCGGATGTGAGGAGCCACGACGACTCATTTTGATTGCATGTTGCACTACCTTTAACTAAATTAATCTTGGCAGAGGGGTCTGTTTGGGAGTTAAAGATTACAGCCGTGGTTGGAGTACTCGGATTTCTCCTCTCGCAGTTGATGGCGGATTCAAACAGCCTGACTCAGACCAGATTGAGGGTTAGCAGACTGCAACTCAAAATCAACTAGTTCATTGACAGTGCTGGACAAACTGCTGGATTATAAAAAGATGCCAGTGAGCAAATATGGCCATTGCTGCGAGAAAATCAAACACTGAATCTTCAATTCATTCATGCAACTGACCTGCGTCGATCGACTGACCGACTGTCTTGCATCGATTGGCCGCTTTGGGTGTAGTCCACGTCTAGGCCTAGCGTACGCCTGTGCTGCTGCTACTACTGCTACTTCGTCCAAGCTTGTACGCGCATGCGTGCCTGTGTCGCAATGCCTCCTCGCCTGCCTCCATGCATCGTGTAATCATCTCGGTGACAAAACTTGAATAACTTGGCTTCGGTATTTCATTCATTTCCTTAGCTGAAAAGAAAGCATTGTCCGATGCTTCAATGGCTTCATCTCTACATCTTTATCTGCATCGTAATTGCTTTCACAATGGTCTCCAACTGCGACCTAGCACACTACCAGATTTGAGTTTGTTAGCTCGTAAAGGTAACTGGAAATGTAATTTACTTGCATGATGCTCACCAATCCGTCTGCTTGCCTGCCTGCCCACAAATCCATCTACTTTCCCAACTACTCACTTCTACCGAGAATACGATGTGGCATCTGGATCAGCGCTAAAGACTTTCTACTTCATGCCAGAGCGGATTTGGATTTGACTGTCAGTGGTTGCAAACATTGGCCCGGATAAGACCTCACTATCAAATCGGCATTTAGTCAGTGGTTGTTCCGAATTCCACGATGATATACCGATCACATGTTTAAGGGTCAATTCCGCGGAATGTGGGCATCCACGGTACAGTCGCACTCTTTCATAAGGACACATTACTCATCACTCAGCAGAACTGGAGTGAGAGGATGCTTGCTTATGCAGTAAAAGGATCAAGGAATTGCTGACACAAACGATTGCTTAAATCAAACATGTAAGGCGAGATGAAACAGTGGTGATAGTCACAAGTGTCGCCTCCAGCGTCGTTGAGTCTACAACGAAATATTCACCACCACGGATGGAGGAGGTCATCCATCCTGCATCAGACGACACTACCACCACTACCCCTTAAATGTGGAGAGACTATTTTGACACAAATCTCCACTCCCTTCATACACCCCCATTATTACTTCCATCAATCAACCACTTCTGCACTAGCCTTATTAATCACAGAAAAGATTACTGATAGAATGAAGCTATGTTCTTCGCCAAGGCTACTACGTGCCAAGGTGCTCTTATGTACTCAGGGAGTGTATTTTTAGCATCAATAACATGTAGGTGGCCAGGATGGAAGGTGCCACAAAGCGGTTGAGACAGATGTCTCTCTGGAAGAAGAGTGCTCTACGGAAATATCTGATATGAAGTTTTTCAGATTGCAGCAAATACTCAATTTCATCCTTAATAGAGGCGGGTTAATTTTAAGGAAGAAAAATAGGAAGGAACCAACGCAATCCATGAAATAGCTGAAATTCCTGATGAACGTACGTGAGAAGGGGGAGGTGGGAATAGGACAAGAGGACGCAGAATGTATGGGGCTATTGAAAGATGGAAAAAAAGAGCAGGATGGAGAAAGAAGTGAAGAATGAGGAGACACCTGCAGTGAATAATGATAAGCTTGATGAGAAAGCAAATAAGAGGAGCGGCGTTTTGCTAGAGTGCAGAAGTTTGCACTACCTCTCTTCATATTCAAGGCCGGTAGTGACAACTTCTTCTGTCATCGTGCATTGGCTGCATTCTGCACCTCCACCTACCATACCGTCATTTTGGTTCAGAAGATTGGGCAACTGGGACCGCTTGCTCTATAGTGTTCTGCAAAGCAGGTGGAGTTTAACCGGTGGAGGTGGTGTCTGGAAGGTGTCAGGTAGTATAACTACTGGCTGAGTACTTCGTTAGGCCTCAGGTTTCTCCATGCTTCGCTTCGTACACGCTGCTGATTGCGATGTCTCAACCAGATGTCGCCCCCTATCCCTACGGCCAGCATGACTATACGACCTGTGCGTATGTTCTTCCCGCAAACCATCGATTCGATCTAAACAGATTGTCACAGACGTAGACGTCAATGTAACGATTGTGAGCCAGTCAAGCCTCGACTCGATTCACTTCACCTCCTCTGATCCAGTCTGACAAGGAGGTTGGGCACATGTCCCTTGGAGCAGTTGCATGCTGCGTGACCATGAGACCATCACTTCATTGACCGGGTGAGGCTTGCATCTCACTAGTGCTTCCACTGATTATTGCTAGTTTCGTAAGACATCAACTGGTGCTGTCAAAATAACATGATGGTAGAGTGCTTTGCAAGCCGTAGGCACTCGCTCCATTTCATCCCATCCCAGACAATCCCCTCTCCAAACCTCCTCTCTGCTCACCGTTAAACTACTGCTGGGTAAAAGTTAGATCGGAAGAAGCTGCAGCTGCTCCGCTGTAATCTTTAGCTCTC